AGGCTATCCACTGCGGCAGTTGTAGGGGCGGGGCCACAGGGGCAATGGCCCCATCTGAAATCTGATTGGCCTCCTGAAGTGCCCCTGTCCTTTCACTCATCTGTCCTTGTCCAATAAAAACGATGGCGGCTGCAGTTCCACCTCCAACCACTAGTGGCGCCAGTGAGTGAAATGGGAAAGTCCAACATGAAGCAAGCTTACCGAAGTCTTTTTCAATTTCAAAAATCCTGCAGAAAAAGTTTTTTTTTTACTGACAACGATGGTTAGATTTTCTCACATGTTGTGTGTTTGAGAGTATTTTATTTATGTACAGTAAAAAAATCAAGTAAAATTGATAAGGAGGATTTACTGTGCAAGCTTTAGTGTTTGAACATGTGTGACTGATTTAAAAGCATAAACCTTACAGAAACTGGGGATTTGTGTGCAAGGAGGCTGAACAACTACTTGGCCCCTCTATCAATATTGTGGCCCAATGAGACCCCGCCTGAAAAGAAGGTACCTGGACATAAGAAAATGCTTATAACTCATAAACTGTTCAACATAGGAGCTTTTATTTTGCCAACATGTGGGGGTCATATTTGCTACTGCTATGTTGTATCATATATTTGTATTATAAACTTGTCACAGCTGACCATAAATCACTCAACTGAGTCTGACCTAACAGTGATGGGCGACATGCATTCCCCCAAAGAAGACTAGGTTTTTAATGTTTTGTGCAATGATTCTATATAAAGATGTGAAAATGTTCCTGAATGGAAGTTTTTTTGTTTGTTCAACTCTAAATATGAGCAGTTCTGCAGCGACTGGATCCATCAGAACGAGCCGGAGCAAAGAATCATCGCAGCAGCAGCAGCAGCAGTAAACGACACGCTGCTCTGCATTGTTCTGTTCTCCATCTGCACCCTGGGGCGTACTCAGCTCCACCGAAAAGCTGCCAGAGTCGGAGAGGAGGAGGTGTGTTCACAGAGTTACAACAGCAGACACACAAAAAACAGATTTAACAAAAACAGAAAGAGGAAGGAGGAGGAAGAGGAGGAGATGAAAAGGTGAAGAGATGAAGATGAAGGAGACAAAAACTGCAAAGAAGAAGAAAGACCGTGTGTCTTTCTGCTGTTCTGGGTCAGGAAAGCCTTTAGTGTCAGATTTCACCAAGAGAACGACGCCGGGGTGAATAAAAACTGGAAAAATAATTAACTTTTCAAAGGTCAAAGTCAAGCAGAGAGAAGAAAAATAAAATAAATCCAAACAGGGTCAAAGCCAGAGGTTGTCAGTCGCATAAAGGCAAATAAAACTGATTCAAAACCAATAAAAACAGGAATAAATTAAAGATCCAACCTTCTTTGAAGAAGTGCGTGTCGCCTGCTCACCTTTAATTTTAGATTTTTAGATTAAAATCATCTCATGGAGTTAAATTAACATTATGTTCAGCTTCAGGTGATCTTCTTTGACCTGTGGTCTTTATATGGTTCTGCACATTTTATCATCTGAACAGATCTAACTCTTCAGATCAAACACAAGTTTGTGTTTCTATTCCTGTTAGGACCGGTCATTGACCTCCATTCATTCCTGTACCTAAACTCAATCCTTAGTCCTAAACCGAACCCAAAAATGGGATTCCACCACATTAGGACTGGGAAAATGGTTTCAAACCAACCAGACAAAACATCTCACCAGAGACGGTTCTGTTCTTCAACAAACTCCTGATTCTTTCTGCTCCTGAAGCACAACTTCAGTCAGTCCTGAGAGTTCCCAGGATTCAGACGTAAACGAAAAACTCAAATTTATTTAACCACATTTTAAAAGAATAATCTTAATCTTAAGAATATTTTATGAAAGAATAAAAAGTCCTTAAGAACCATAATGTTGTAATTATAACAGTGACGTATAAGCCTGGACTCCCAGCTAGAGATGAAGGATCCACCGTTAAACATGGTTAAAGAACCGTTAAATATCCAACTGTTAGTCACATGGTGTCACTACGGTCACACATGGTGTCACTACGGTCACACATGGTGTCACTACGGTCACACATGGTGTCACTACGGTCACACATGGTGTCACTACG